ACAAGAAAAAGCTGAAGGAATTTATCACCATCAAACTAATACTATATGAAATGTTAAAGTGTCTTCTTATAAAAGAAGAAAAAAAGATAAAAAGTATGAACAATAAAATGGCAATAAAATGCATATCTACCAACAACTGAATCTAAAAAACAAAATAAACAAACAAGCAGAACAGAAACAGACGCATGGATGGAGAACATTTTGACAGTTGCCAGATGGAAGGTGTGTTGAAGGGATGGGTAAAAAAGGTTAAGGGATTAAGTAGAATTTGGTAGTTACAGAATAGTCATGGGGATGTAAAGTACAGCATACAGAATATAGTCAATGATATTCTAATAACTATGCATGGTGTCAGATGTGTACAGATTTACCAAGATGATTACTTAGTAAATTATATGTCTAATCACTGGTGTATACACCTGAAACTAATATAATATTGTATGTCAACTATACTTGAAAAGTAAAAAATGATTTAAAAATATGCTCTCACTCAGGGAAGCACATGTTCTCATGTAAAAACAAACTAATACTTACTGGACTTTACTTCTTTAGTCCCCACATACTGAGTAAATCTTCAAATCAAACCTCCTTTATTTAAATGTATCACAAGACTATTTGTGCCCCAAATCAAAACAAATGGAATGTCAAAAAACTATACTTTATTACTTCAACCCATGTTTGGTAGACCTTAAAGAAATACAATCTAATTTCTCACTGTTATAAACAACATGAGAATGGCAGTTATTCTTTTCCCAATAGATTAAAACATTTTCAGAAGCACTTTTTCTACTTTATTCCATAAAACATTTTAAATCAATAAGGTTATTTATAAATAAAACAAGGTTAAAAATAGAAAATAAAAGTAATCCTACCCTCTCATATTTAGTTCTCTTCTTTGTATTTTAAAACATTCTGTAATAAAAATATAAAGCAGCTCCTCTCTTACAAAAAAGGAAAAAAAATGATGGAGTTCCCAGGCAGTGTTTAAAGAATGAAGATCCATGCCCAAACAACAGCTCACAGCAGTTAATAAAGACAGGATCCCTTGTGCAAAATGTTGAACATTGTAAAGGCTGCTGAGTTCAAATTAAGTATAGTCCCCTCATATTACATCTGGCACATATCACAGTCCCCTCATATCACAGTCCTGGCACATACCACATCTAGACTCCAGGTGTCAATTAAACTAAAAAGACAATTGTAGACAAGAGGGCTAGTCCACTCTTTGCTAAAGTATGTTTATTTTGGCTTACAACTTGCCTTGAAAGTTATGCATAAATTCTTCCTTAAATGTGCATTTTGGTCAACTTTGAAAGTCTGCAGTCAGTAAAGTCCATTTTCAACAATGCATTCTGAGATTTTATTATTCCAAGGTCATATTTTACTGTTTTAACAAAAGCATGCTTATGAATCTGAAAATCTTAGGACCAGAGTTCTGTACTACAAATTCACATCAGTTTGTGAAAGGACGGAGAGAAATAAAGAAAAATGAAATCATCTTACATTTACAGAGTATTTTCATGTTATCTGATTAAATTTTTAAAAATCAGTTTAAAGATGTACCAATTCAAGAAGCACCATAGATTATCAGATTTTGTAGTACCTTTGTTACAGGGGAATTAGAAGAAAAAGAAACAATATTTTATACATCAGCATGATTGTTAGCATAAAACTAGTTCTCGACAACCTCTGAGTTTGTTGGATGTCCTCAACATGAAGATGCCCATGCCACCATGAGAACTGCCAGTAACACTTTGTAAATTGCTATTGCCACTGGAGTCAGAAAACTAGTAGCTCAAATTATGCTAACTTGCACAAAACTTAATAATGAAGTGAGATTATGACTTTCTTCTCAACTTTCTACAGTGGCCATCCCATTTGAATGCCAACTATTTGCAATGTTTAACAGAAGTAGCAGTGACAACAAGACTGCTATCAGAAAAAAACATTTATCTTTGCTACTTTTTAAAAGAAAAAAAGTTTATTCACTCATCCACATGCTTGAGGTTGCAAAGTATTTATCATGAAGCCACTGAAAATGTCATCAAGAGAAAAAATTGCCTCAGGAAATCAGAGCATCCTCTGGATAGGCCAAAGTTAAGGGTTTGATCCCTGGTGAGCTCAGCTCACATACAAGAATCAACCAAAGAATCAATAAATAAATGGAACAACATATCAAAGTTTTTCTCTCACTCTTCCTTTCTCAAAGGGGAGGGGAAGGGGGAGGGGAGGGAGAATTAGCAAGCTTCATACAGCTTCTTGGGCTTCAAAAGACAATATGCAAAAGTGACAATCTATTCCCCACCTCCTTTTTAAAACAGTTTTGCAAGTAACATAATTCTTCACAGCTGTTTGTAATTAATGCTTGGTTAATTCAAATCTCTCCCCTAATCCTCCTTGAAACAAACAGGATATTGGTCTATTATTATGAACTGATCATGGCTTTTTTTAAAGAGCATTTACAGAACAGTTTTATAAACACTGCATACTTACCTCCTCTTGGCTTTATCAATTTACTTACCTAAGGTTTCTCAAACTTTCCACACTATCTTAAGCTACTAGGCAGACCCCTACACCTGGGCCTATGTCTTCCTAGAAAATCGTTTGCCAAGGAACACTTACTCTCTGCCAGGCAGAATTCTTCTATTTTCACCTTGTTTCTAAGGAAAGAAGTGATTCTCCTGCTTGCCAAGTAGACTGTCTCCAACTACTTCCACCTCCTCCATTTCTCTTTTTCAACCTGTGTATGCAGGGTCTCTCCTCTGAGTGTATAAATAAGATCAGACATCTCTGGTCCTAAAAATTGCCTCCTATCAGTATAGCGGTGAGGGAAGCAGGGGCTGGAGCTGAAAAGGATGAATACTTAACCCCTCTCTTGCTATCCGAGTAATCTCTATTGCTTTTCTTAAACTCTTTACTTATGCTCATCACCAAATCCCACCTTCTTCTTAGTCCTCACTCTTCTAGTCCCCTTATCTTTTCTTCCCTGCTTCCCAACATCCCTCAATTGTGCCCCGTGCACTCTCACTTACTGGCCACCCAGTCTCAATCTTTGTATGGGAGTGCCAAGAGAGGAGGAACGGATTAATTTGCTAGGAACCAAGATTCCACCTCAAATATATCCCCTCTGTTCTATGTCCAGTGAATAGTAAACCTCTCATCTAAACTGCTACAATACTCTCCTTGTGGTATCTTTACCTCAAGTTTCAGTACATAGTATTGCTAGAGAAATATTTCTTAAGCAAAAACTGTAATCAGGCATGGCAGCTGAGATACTCTACACTTCTCAAACTGTAATGGGCATGTAAAGCACATGGTGATCTTGTTAAAGCAGATACTTATTCAGTGGGTCTGGGTGGTACCTGATTCTGGATTTCTAACACGCTCTCAAGTGATAACCATGCTACTAGTGTGAAGCCACACAATATGGCCACCTACTTTTCTAGTCCCATCTTATACTCCTCCTTGCCCTGCACTACCCCATGTACCTCTCACAAACACACAGGTCTCACACACACTGACACACACAAAGGTACACAAATTGTTCCTTAAACATACTTCCCAGCTTCTGTGCCTCTTGCTGTCTCAAGTCCTGTGTCTGCTCACCGCAATTCTAACCACTTTACAGGAATCAACTCATTCTGCTATTGGCTTTACTTATCTTCTCATCTACCTCACCCATTCTACTCTACCCACTGAAAACCACAAAAACCTCAAGACACTTACGGCACTTAATTTGCACTGTCTATGCTCTGCAATGTCATTATGGGTCTCATGTAACACTCAGGGCTAAACGCCACATTCTTACAGGAAGGCAGGGACTATCTTGTCCACCCTCTGTAACCCCAGGGCACCCAGAGGGCCTTGTGCCCCTAAGTACCTACTGCAGTGGATTTGTATTCTAAGAAAAATGAAACATCTCACTTTATGTAACTTTGAGTAGGACTTCAGAAGTTTCAAAACACCCTTCCTGGAAAGTTAATTCATTAGCAAAAACTATTAAAAATTTGTCAAATATTTGCTACTTTAAAAAATATATCTATATATAAACATTCAAGTGGTGCTCAGAGAATTTTATTACTTATTCTATTTATAGTAGTCTGCAGGTACATTGATCAAGATTCTGATCTATGATTAAATCTACTGATCATTAGATCTACTTATTACAGCATTATAAACTTACAATACTTTGTAACCCACATTGTAACCCTCCCTGGTTTAATTTACCTAATGCTCCTTTTATTACTCCATTTGTTAAATGGGACCTCATTTTCTCCTCAGGTGTGCTAAGACAGCTGTCTGCAAAACATTTCAGCATTAAAATGCCATACATTTGTGTTGACTTTGAAATGTCCTTTAAAACATGAATCTTGAAGTACCATTTTCAAGGAGGTTAACCAACTCAACCCTATATTCAATATTTATATGGTAAATCGTCTACATATCAAAACCGCCAGAATTCAAGAACCTACCCATAACTCTTAAACTATAGTGTGTTCAAGAATTGTTTGGTGTGCTTGTTAAATTTGCAGATTCCAGGTTCTTACCCAGAGAAAGTCTGATTCAGATCTGGGGTGAGGCCTAGAAAAATGTAGTTAGCCAGCATCCCCAGGTGATTCTCCTGCAGGTGTTCTGCAGATCTCAATTAGACGAATAGTGACATTAACCCTGCTCCGAGGCACTACAGGATTGTGTTAAGAAAAAATGCAGAAATTAGTTTGTGAAATCCTTTCCCAAAACAGCTGTCATACCACCACAGCTCAATGACGATTCACGAAAAAGGGGTTATGGAGGAGCAGGCTGACTGAAAAATTCCTTGAAGTCTGAACAAAGCCCCAAACAATCGGAAAGTGGAGTTTCTTTCCCATCTCTGCGCTCCATTCTGCGACCATCCCCCAAGACACTCTCCGGAACTGGCTCTCCTGCCGGAGCCGAACGACGCCGGTCGCTGGCCCGAAGGGTGGGAAAGGCGGACCCGACACTCAGCTCGCGCCCCTCACCTGCCGCGCGGCCGCAGCTCGGTATCTGGGTCCGGCTCGGAATCCCGGGGCTCCTGCTCCTCTGCGGCCGCCGGCAACGCGTCAGCATCCTCCACCGTCACCTCAGCCACAACCACGGCCCCAGGTGCCTGCACTCGCGCGGCCGAGGTAGGAGCGGCCGCGGCCCCTAAGCCAAACGCAGCCTCTGACGCCGGCGCTGGTCGGTCGGCGGCGCGCCCCGAAGCTTCCGTCCGCACCACTAGCGCCAGCAGCAGTTGCAGTAACAGCGACCGCGCAAGCGGCCCCGGGCGGGCTGCGCGTTCCATCAGCGGCCGGCACGGGGCGCGGGCATGGAAGTGAAGCCGCCGGTGCCCGCCTCTCCCGTAGGTTTGAGCACCCTATCAACAAAGGACGCGCTAGAGTTCCCGCGGCCCTGACAGCCTGGACACCAAGCCCTGAACCTCCCGCCACGTCTTAGCTGTGCGTGCCACTACCTGAATGACAGCCTCCCTCGGACAGCATCCATTGGACGAACTTTCCGCATGTCTGCTCTCCGATTGGCTGAGACCACTGCCACTCCGCGGGCCGGCCGGTCCCTTGGGAGACGGTGGGCTTTCCCCGGTTGTCAAATCACGCCTGCCAATCAAATTGAATTGTCTGCGCCCGAGGCCCAGCCCTATTCCGGAAGCGGTTACCCCAGGTCTGCAGAGAAAATTTGAAGCTCATTGGTGGAAGTGGATGCCCCTCAAAGCTCTGAGATAATTTCTTCCTGATTGGTTGGAAATGGCACCTAATACGTGGCAAATTCTGAGTGTGAAGAGTACTGTACCTAGGGAAAGGAAGAGCTGGAGGTGAGTTCCGGGTGGGCGGGAGGCGACCGACCTTAAAGCATCTGCCGCTGTGGCTCTTCTAAAGCCTTGTCTATTTGGAAAGGGGAAAACAAAGCCGGAAATAGAAGTGAGTTCTCACGCCGTGTGGTTAGAAGTAGAAGGGATGAGGCAGATTCAGGAACCAATACTACGTATGACCCCTAAATTGCTGAGCGGTTAGGGATGCCAGTGCTCTAACAAGGTGATCTAGTCTGCTGACACGCCCCTTCCTCTTTATAACCGGAACGAGCCCAGGCGCGGTGCACTCTAGCAAGTTGTCTAATGACTCAGGAGCTAGTTGTTTGCAGAACTATTACTTTAAGCCTTCTGACCCTGATGTGGCATGCTTGTACCTCACTACAGAGCTTTAGAGAAGAAAGAGCTAAAACTGCAAAAGGCGAAACTGGGAGAAGATCTGAATGTTCATCTAAGGAATTGAAACTTCATTCAGTAGTTAACGGATACCCTGAGATTTTTGAGCAAAGGATGAAAATTGTGGTTTGTGAAGATGCATCGTCAGCTTTGTATTCAAAAGAATAGCATCAAAGATGAGGAGAGTGATTGGGAGGCTATTGCCCATCAAATTTCTGTAGAGATTTTTTAAAAAAGGTATTGACCTAAACATGCTGTTATTAACGTCAGAAAGCAAAAACGTAAAAAGCCCCACTTCCCCCTCTATCTTGCACCGTATTTTCTTGCTCCTACAAGCACAGCAAAACTTAGTGCTCTAAAAAACGTGTCTTCAATTCTTCTCAAACACACTAGTCAGGTGTTCATACCCATAACGCCACCAAACGTCCCTTGCTGAGGTCACCACAGATAATTCAAAGAACAATTGTCAGTTTTCATCTTATTTAACCCAGTAACTCAATCTTACCTGTGTAAAATATTTTTCACTGGTTATCTTGCTATCAATAGGAGCAAGACTTACTAGGTTTCATTTTAACTTAATCACTTTTGTAAAGGCCTTATCACCAGTATGGTTACAATCTGAAGTGGGAGTGGGGAGGAAGGATCTCATATGAATTTGGAAGTAGGGGAAGCACAATTCAGCCCATAACACTTAGATCCTCACAAGGCTGTTCCCTCAATTCCTTCAAGGTTCTGTTACTTTCCCAGTGAAGCCTCTCCTGACCACCCTTTTTAAACATTTTAAAACATTTTTTTTTCAATTTCAGTTTACATTTAATATTATTTTATATTAGTTTTAGGTGTATAGCATAATGGTTAGATAGTCATATACTTTACAAAGTGTTCCCCCAATATTTTCAGTACCCACCTGGCACCATACATAGTTATTATAATATTATTGATTATATACCCTATGCTGTACTTTACATACCTGGACTATTTTATAACAACCAATCTGTACTTCTCAGTTCCTTCACCTTTTCCATCCAGTCCCCTAACACCCCTCCCAGCTGGCAACTATCAGTTTGTTCTTTGTATCTATGAATTCGTTTCATTTATATTGTTCTTTGGATTTCACATATAAGTGAAATCATATGGTATTTGCCATTCTCTGACTGACTTATTTCACTAAGCATAATACCCTCTATCCGGATGACCACTTTTTTCTTTTAAAATTGACTATTATTTACTCAACAAAATAGGAGATAAGCTCTCCTGACTAGGTGAGGAATTTAATAATATGAGAAAGGTGTCAGAAAATTAACACGAGATGAAAAATGATTGTTGACTTTTACATAATTTGAAATTACATAGCTAGTGTAGGTATTTTAGTGAACCTAGTCTTCATGGCTTTGTAACTTTTTCAAAAAAATGTCATGGCATGAACAGTAATCTGCATTAATAAATTAGGAGTCTACTTGCCACCACTAAATGATGTGAAAGTTTTTTGTTCACTTATTCATTACAATTCAGGGAGTATCACATGGCCACCTGCATGTAATGGGAATAAAGATGTGAACAAAAGACCTGGCTGGTGTAGCTCAGTGGATTGAGTGCGGGCCTGCAAACCAAAGGACGGCAGTTTGATTCCCAGTTAGGACACATGCCTGGGTTGTAGGCCAGTTGTCAGCAGGGGACCTACAAGAGGCAACCATACATTGATGTTTCTCCCCCTCTCTCCTTCCCTTCCCTTCTAAAGATAAATAAATAAAATCTTTTAAAAAACCAAGAATTAAAAAAAAAGATGTGAACAAAAGAGGCATGGTTCCTATTCTTCTGAAGCTTAACATCTATCTAGTTAGGGAGACAGACACTACTTAAATACTGACATACATATTTATATTATGTACACAATGTGCTATGATGAAAAAAGGCATAGGCATGAGAGCACAGTGGTACAAAATCCCAGTAAGAAGTCAAGCTTTACTGGTACTCAGGGGAAAAATGCAAATATTTCCATTTTGGAAAAAGAAAAAGTCCTAAGTAGTAGTTAGCTGAGTAAAAAAATAACTTGAAGGAAGGAAAAGAGGGTCTGAGAGTTTTAGCATAACATATAGAATCAATGGTGACTGCATAGTAACTCTGGAATCAGTCTGAGTACTTCAGAGAAGTGTAAGAAAAGTTAGGACTAGCCTGATAGCTTGATCAGTAAGTCTGGTCTAATCTACAAAAAGAAGTTGGCACTTAGGTGCCTGAGCCAGGGCTGACCAGAACAATTAAGATTCTAAAACAGCATGGTCCAGGAGGTCAGGAAAACAGGGTGGAGATTTAGTATCCTGAACTCAGTTCATTAACAGAGAAAGTCAGAATCTGTTGAGATTATACTTGATTGTAAATAACAAGTGTCCAAGAAGCTGAAGAGTGTTCCAAAGTGGTTCTACTTTATACCTCACCTGTAGTATATGACAGTTCCAGTTGTTCCATATCCTCATTAACATTTGATATCATTAGTCTTAATTTTTACTATTAGGTGGTATGCAGTTGTGGGTATTTAATTATGGTTTTGATTTGCATTTTTTTGATGGCTAATGATTGGAGTATCTTTTAATGTGCTTATGAAATACTTATCTTCTTTTGTGAAATCTCTATTCAAAGCAATTACAAAGGAAAGAATTTGCATAGGTAAGCACCCAACAAAGTTTGCCACACAGTGAAATAAGCTGTATCAGTTGACTATTGCCATAACGATGCTATGTAAGGAATCAGCCCCAAATGCAGCAGCTTAAAGCAAAAAAAAAAAAAAAAAAAAAAAAAAAATGCTCACTCCCTTTACCAGGGGGTTAACTGATCTAGCCAGAACTCATTTTCCTTATGACAATGGAAGAAACACAAGAAAGGTGAGTGGAAACCTACAGGGCCTCTTGAGGCTAGAGCAAGAATGGGATACTATTACTTCCATCTACATTCCATTGGCTAAGGCAAGGCATACATCCAGGCCCAACATCAGTGAGTCAGGAAAATAAGCCCCACCTCTACTGGGAGAAACTATAAAGTCACATGACAAAGGATATGAATACAGGATTTGAGAGAAAAATACAATTACCACAAATGCTTTGAGAGTAATCAGTTATATCTATGCCTGCATCTAGCATGAGCAATTGCTTCAAAGCAATACACACAATGAGATAGCACTTTATATCTATCAGAAAAGCTATTTTTTAAAAATAGGAAAAGACAGCCCTGACCAGCATGGCTCAGTTGGTTGAGTGTAGTCCTGCAAAGCAAAGGTTCACCAGTTCAGTTCCTAGTCAGGGCACTGCCTTGATTGCAGGCCAGATCCCTGGGGCATACGAAAAGCAAACTGACTGATGTTTCTTCCTCATATCAATGTTCCTCTTTCTTTCTCCCTCCCTGCCTCTCTCTTTAAAATAAAAAGGAAAGAAAAGACAATATCAAATGCTGGAGAACAACTGGAAGTTTCATTAATTGCTGGGATCTGAACACAACTGGAAGTTTCATTAATTGCTGGGATCTGGTAAAACTGTTTTGGAAAGTTTGGCAGCTTTTTACACAATTAGATATACATTTACCATTTAACCTCCCAATCCCACTCCTAGGTTTTTACCCAGGAGAAATGAAAACATATGCCCACACAAAGACCTATATGCAAATCTTTTAGCAGCTTTATTCATAATTGCCCAAACTAAAAACACTGAAAATGTCTATCAACTAGTGAATGGATAAATTGCCATCCATCCACATGATTGAATACTACTCAGGAATAAAAAGGGATAAGCTGTGATACATGAATGGCATGAATATATTTCAGATGCACTGCACTAAGTGAAAAAAGTGAGAAACAAAGAACTATATACTGTATGATTTCAAACATGATAGTCAGGAAAAAGCAAAACTCTAATGACAAAGTGGGTGAGATTGACTAAGAAAAGCACAAGGAACTTTTTTAGGGTGATGAAAATATTCCAAATCTTTTTTGTAGTGGTAGTTCTGCAAGTATATAAGTTTGTCAAAACATATAGAGCTATACATCTAAAAAGGGTGAATTTTACTACATATAAACTTCACCTTAAAACAAAATGAACAACAACAACAAAAAACATAAGCCTTTTCTCTTTCACCTTGCCCTGGAATAGGCAAGAGGATATATTTTATTTGTTTGAAAACTGAAATTTCACAGATTTTTAGCTGGTTAAGTGACAAGACAAAATTAAGTGTGACTTGGTTTGATGTTAACACATGACACATAAATAAGTTTGGGGATGCACCTTAAGCATTAGAATTTGCTTGGTGTAGGTTAAATGACAAGGGTGGGAAGAGAAATTCAGGAGGTTCTGGTTAGGGAATACAGAGTATATAGCAAGCCTGATCTTCTGGTATCAACCTTTAAAAGGATGATTACACTTAGGGCCTCTGTAAAAGGGGCTTGGGAGCTGCAAGACCTAGCCTAAAGACTAGGGGTTGTTCCAGATGTACTGAGGAAGCAGTTTATCAATGTTTCCCTAAGTATGGATTTGAAAGGACCTAACCAGACAAGAATGGGGCCCAGGAATCTCCATTTTAAACAAATTCCCGAGGATATTCTTATGCACTAAAATTTGAAGAGTGTGGCAGTTTAGAGTTGATATGTTTCCGTGAAATTAATGATTCTTCAATCAACCTACAATTTTTTTACATGTGCCTAGTTTATACCAGAGACCCTTCCCCTTGAAGTGTTACTTGAGTGTCCACTACCAGTACTACGCATCCTTTAGTTCAAAGACTTTAAATTTTTCCATCATGGTGTACTAGAAAATTTGTCATGGATATTACAACATCATCTCAGCTGCTTGCAGCTTGACTGTGAGTTATGGCAACTTCACTGTAGTCACTGCCTGGAACTCCTGGACACACCCCCTGCAAGGAGTGTCTTATGATTCCCACAGGTTCCAGCTCAGATTTCATTCTCTATACATACCACATAAGACTACACCTGCAGATCAAACTTTACCAAAAGGTTGGGATGATTAAAGAGGAAAGAACCCACAAAGATAAACCCACCGTGGGAGTCCCCATGCATACCTCTGTCCATAACCCTGCTCTCCTGCCCTCATTTTCCTCTATCTTGGATATCCCTACTCTCTCTTTTTCCCCCCTTCCTATCCACAGGAATTGGTCTTAGCCCAGGACTCACTGCCCCTGCATTTTGTTGGTCAGCTATTGTCCCAATAATCTGCATTACAACAACCCTAAAACACAGTACCTCAACAATAGGCACTTATTCTAATGCATTTGCATGTTAGCTGGGGCTTAGCTCCAAACTGAGGTGGGTCCACATCTCCTCCATTGATCTCTCATCTCCTGTGGAAGAATGAGCTACTTGGAGCAGTTCTCATGGCAATAATGAAAATGCAAGAGGGCAAGCCCCACCACATATGCATGTTCTGAACCTCTGTTGTTATATGTCTGCTAACATTCTTACAGCCAAAGTGTACCGCATAACCAAGTTCAGAGTGAAAGGGCAAAGAAACGCACTCCACACACCAGAAGGCATGGCTAGAGTATGGGTGTGTATTACTACCACAAGGGAAAGAAGACTTTGGATCAGTCATTCAATCTATACATTCGTCTTGAGTATTGATTCCTTTATCTGAAGATTGAGTCTAGAGAAATGCCTGAGGCTTTACCAGGACAGTAACTGATAATAACCAACTTTTGAATTTACACTGTCCAGTTTAGTTCTGGACAGAAATGGATGATCCATTCTGATTCTCTCCAAAATTGGAATTTGTAGGAATGTACACACAAACGCAGGAACAAATCCCTGGACACACACCTGCGTGCAGATTTATATGTGCTTGTGTGCATATGTACAGGTCCAGTTATACAGGACCTTTCTACAAAAAAAAGTTCCTCTCAGATTTTCAGAGGCTAAACTCTTTAGTAGACAAAGGATTTTTCTGCTTTATAACTTGCGAGAATACTATTTCATAATGATATCAGGACTTTGCATTATGCTGAGAAATAACAGTGCTTTTTCTTCAACCTTGTCTCCTCATAATCAACCCCCATGGATTTGCCAAGAATAAGACAGTAGCCAGGTGCTAGAGCTCAGTACCTCTGAATGACACACTCCCTAACCGCACACAGCTTCTGCTCTGGAAAATTCTTACTCAAGGGCTTCATTGCTTACATTTTCTGTCGAGGTAGTTTCAGCTTTCCAGCAATTCTTCCATTGTAGGAGGAAATGAAGGCCCTAATTAGTACTAATTTTGGAACTCCAAATTGTTGTGTGCTCTGGGACAATATGCATCTCAATGTATTTCATAGTGTCTTCCCTGGTCACTTGCATCGGTCACTCTTTTGTCACTTGTGCCAGGAGCTCTCTGAGGTCATTTTCTCACTTGCACCAGGGACTTCCTTTGGTCACTTCATTTCCACTTTTTTATAATATTATGCGTCTTTTCTCTGTAGAGAATATTTACACAATTTTACAATTGAAAAATCTAAACCGCCAAGAAGAAGTAAGTAAACACACATGAAAAGTATAACTTTATACTATTAACCATAGACAAAATTATTTCTCACATGGGTACTGCCAATATGCTTTTCGGTCAGCAAATATAGAATAAGATATTTTTTAGTTTTGTGTTTTAATTTGGATGATAATTTTGTAATTAAATATAATTGTAGGATTATATCTTTGGCATTTCAGGCCCAAGCTTGTATTTTTGTCTATCAACTTAGCACCAATTTATTCTATTTTAATTATCATAGGCAACAGAAGAAAAATAAGCTGCATATTTATGTATAAAAGATTCTTCCTGCCAAATAGAAAGCAGAAGACACATTCTCTGAAAGCAGGTGTTTCATGTGGCCCAAATAAAGAAAAGTGGTGGGAGAATCAGATCCTCACACAACACATAACTTAATAAGGGGCCAGGCTGAAGAGTGTATCTTAACTGTCAATATTTGGACAACTGCTTTCAGCTCTAGCATAAGAGCTGACTTTATACCAAATCTTTCACTGAGAATGACTGAAAAGTCAGATTAAAAACAAATATTTGATGGTATCACAAAGCAACCAAGTCATCTAGGACTTGAGGGGCTAAAAATGGGACAGAAAGAAAATGCAGTCAGTTCAGGGTAACACTCTCTATCCTTTCCCCCCTTGAGACA